CTGACCTATCTCTGGCATTGTCGACTTGGCCACAACAACGAGAAACGCATAGCGAAACTTCATTCTGATGGACTTCTTGATTCTTTTGATTATGAATCAATCGAATCATGCGATTCCTGTTTGATGGGCAAGATGACAAAATCTCCTTTTACTAGAAAAGGAGAACGGGCTACAGAGTTGCTAGAACTCATATATAGTGATGTGTGCGGTCCTATGAGCTCGTCCACTAGAGGAGATTATTTGTATTTCGTTACGTTTACTGATGATTTCAGTAGGTACGGTTATGTCTACTTGATGAGACATAAGTCTGAAACGCTTGAATTGTTCAAGAATTTCAGAAACGAGGTACAGAACCAACTTGGCAAGACAATCAAGTTGCTTCGATCTGATCGAGGTGGCGAGTATATGAGCCGAGAGTTCACTGACTATCTAGCAGATTGTGGGATTGTCTCACAGCTGACTCCACCTGGAACGCCACAATGGAATGGCGTTTCCGAGAGGAGGAACCGAACCTTATTGGATATGGTACGGTCTATGATGAGTCAGGTCGATCTTCCTAAATCCTTCTAGGGACATGCTTTGGAAACGACAACGCTTATACTGAACAACTTTCCAACAAAGTCGGTTCAGAAGACTCCATATGAGATATGGACTGGGAAGCGTCCCAGGTTAGCATTTATGAAGATTTGGGGATGCGACGTTTACGTGAAACGTCTGGTTCTGATAAACTATCCGCCAAGTCTGATAAATGCGTATTTGTGGGTTACCCTAAGGAAACTAAAGGGTACTGGTTCTACAACCCATCTGAGAACAAAGTGTTTGTTGCTCGGAATGGATCATTCTTGGAGAGAGAGTTCGTCTCCAAGAGAGTTAGTGGGAGTAGAATAGATCTCGAAGAAGTTCGAGAAACACAAATAGTCGACGAACCGAGTGAACAGGGTGAATCGGTTCAACCTGTGTCACAAGTTGTTGAGACACCACCTCCTAGTGAACCTCGGAGATCTGGTAGAATTCCCCAAGAGCCTACAAGATATGGTTTTCTTGTGACTTGAAACGACGAACTCATGTTGTTAGAACATTACGAGCCTACGTCGTATTCAGAGGCTGTGGCGAGTTCCGATTCCGAAAAATGGCACCAGGCCATGGAGTCTGAGATGCAGTCCATGTACGACAACAAAGTATGGACTTTGGTCAACTCATTCGATGGTATTAAGACCATTGGATGTAAGTGGGTTTTCAAGAAGAAAACCGACATGGATGGCATCATGCATACCTATAAGGCACGACTCGTAGCGAAAGGGTTTCGGCAGATTCATGGTATAAACTATGATGAAACCTTTTCACCAGTCGTGATGCTTAAATCCATACGGATTCTGCTGGCCATAGCTGCGTATTATGACTACGAAATATGGCAGATGGACGTCAAGACCGCATTCTTTAACGGGAATTTGCTCGAGGATGTGTACATGACACAACCCGAGGGTTTTGGCGATACTAAGAGTCCGAGGAAGGTGTGTAAGCTTCAGGTGGGAGCGCAGTGGTCTTCCTTGTGCTTTATGTAGATGATATATTGCTCATCGGAAATGACATTCCTACCTTGCAAGGAGTAAAATCCTGGCTAGGATCGGTCTTTTCGATGAAGGACTTAGGAGAAGCCGCCTATATTCTAGGAATCAAGATCTATAGAGATAGATCAAGAAGACTTCTTGGTCTAAGTCAGAGTACATACATTGACAAGGTCTTGAATTGGTTCAAGATGCAAGACACCAAGAGGGGTGCCTTGCCAATGGGACATGACGTGGCTCTTAGCAAGACCCAGTGCCAAAGACAACAGGATGAGCAAGAGCGCATGAGTAGGATTCCATATGCCTCGGCAATTGGATCCATCATGTACGCCATGTTGTGTACTCGCCCGGATATATCATATGCATTAAGCATGACTAGTAGATATCAATCTACACCAGGTGATGCTCATTGGATTGCGGTCAAGAACATCCTTAAGTACTTGAGAAGGACTAAGGATTTGTTCTTGGTAAATGGCGGATTGGAAGACGAGCTCGCTATAAGTGGTTATAGCGATGCTAGTTTCCAAACCGACAGAGATGACTTCAGATCGCAGTCAGGTTATGTTTTCTGCCTGAACGGTGGGGCTATCAGTTGGAAGAGTTTCAAACAGCCAACCGTGCAGATTCGACTACAGAAGCCGAGTACATAGCAGCATCGGATGCAGCTAAGGAAGCTGTTTCGATCAGAAAATTCGTGGGAGACCTGGGCGTCGTTCTTAGCCTTGCAGATCCCATTGAGTTGTATTGTGACAACAATGGTGCGATTGCGCAAGTTAAGGAACCCCGGTCACACCAGAGATCCAAACACATACTCAGGCGATTTCACTTGATCAGAGAAATCATCGACATAGGAGACGTGAAGATAAGCAGAGTGTCGACGAATGATAATATTGCCGACCCATTGACAAAGCCTCTCCCTTCGTCAAAACATGATGGTCATGTTAAGGGTATGGGGATTAGATGCTTGTAGGATAAATCATAGAGCATAGTGGGAGATTGTTGGTTTTAATGCTCTAGGATATTCCGTGATATGACATTTTGACTATGTGATGACTCGTTGCTTTATGAATGCATTACATTACCGTTATATGATTGGCATGTTTGTTATATTGCGGTTATCCTTGAATCATCATAGAATGATTCTAAACACCCTGGTCAGTTATCATTGTGGGAACAATGATGAATTAAGACTAGCATAAGGTGTGATCGATGCATTGGATGCATATCACAATCATGGGTACTCGTTGTGAACGAGTGACTGGTTGACCCGCATGAGATTGTCACATGGACAGAGTCATGACTTGAATCTCATACAGCGGTTCGTTCTTGGATCCTCAGACCTGAGATGTCTAGAGTATCTGATATGAGGAGTGGCGTGTCTTGACTGCGTCAAACGTCGTCTTTAACCGGATGATTATAACGGCGTTGATCAGATACGTTCACGAATCATATGGAGATAATAGACATGCAATATGGGACTTGTCACCTCCTCGTGGAAGTCGGACTATGAAAATGCGTGTCCACGCTATAGATGAAGTTACATCTATTTTATTAGTCGATTTGCCAAGACGAGAAAGCGGTTGAACTTGAAGGGTGGCTCAAACCATGCCCTTGTTCAACATATCGGGAGATAAAGGATCAGAACTTAGGAGGCACGTAAGCTAGCTCAGGTATATCATCAGTAGTGTCTAAAACTGTGGTTCTCGAGCTATCGCCTTGCTCAACCATCGGTGGATCTCCAGAATCTACCTGCTTACCACTTCTCAAGGTAATAGCATTGACATGCGCACGAGGGTTAGTCTCAGAGTTACCTGAAAGAGACCCAGATGGTCTTTGAATGGCTGATGCTAGCTGAGCAATCTGGTTGTCTATGTTCTTGAAGTGAGCCTCGATGCTTGTGAACTGAGCTCGAAATTCCTGATTCGTCTTCTCTTGACTCTGCAAAAACTGTATAAGGAGACCGTACGTATCAGGGTTAGATTCGAGATTACCTGGAGATGCAACATTGTTGTAGGATTGTCCCGGAGCTCTGTAGTTGGATGTCTGTTTAGGATCCTCTGGTTCGAGTTGTCGGATACTCTGAAGTTGTTCGACGTGGGATTCTCAACACTGTTTGACTTGTATGAGAGATTAAGATTATTTTTCCACCCCGGATTGTACGGGTTCGAGAAGGGGTTGTTGGTCACATAGTTCACACCTTCGATTCTCTCATCTAGTGCATACATACCGAGCTCCTCTTGTGTTGGCGTCGAATGTTCGGTCCTAGAGGATCGAGTGGAATCTTCGAGCTTAGCATTGAGGACAGCCAATTGTTCGAGAACCATATGTATGGTTTGATCATTGCCTTTCCTTGACAAATCTCTAGAGTACTCATTCGGAGCGTCTTCTTCTTGGATCATCATCTCAATATGTTCTTCTAGCTCAGCGAATGACTTGTTCTGGATGCTCCCACCGCAAGATGCCCGGATCAAGGTCTTGGTATCCATCCCGAGTCCTCGGAAGAAGGTGTTGATCAGGTAGTTCTTATCTAGCCCGTGATGAGGGCAAGACTTTTGATATCCTTTGTACCTCTTCCAAGAGTCATAAAGACTTTCCCCATGATCCTGCTTGAATGAATGAATGCCAGAAAGAGCGGCTTGAGTGCGGTGAGCTGGGAAATTTTTTGACATAAACTGCACTTCCAACTATTCCCAGGTGTGGATGGAATCAGGTATCAAATCATAACACCATTCCAAAGCAGCATCCAGGAGAGTCCAGGGGAAAGAAATTAAGCGAAGTGTATCCTCTGTCACCCTGTTGTCTCTCTTGATAGAATGACACATCGTCTTAAAGCGAGTTAAATGTGCGTTCGGGTCTTCGTTCGGCCTACCCCGGAAAGCATTGTTGCCCAACATCTGAATAGTAGACGGGTTCAGCTCGAAACTAGACATGTCGATGGCCGGTAATCGAATACCAGCCAAAAGCTCAGTGTGCTTAGGCGTGTTGTACTGGGCAAAGGTTGAGTCAGCATTGCCTTCGACACCATCAGGAAGAGCAAAATCTTGGTTGTTCTCCATCTGTCTTTGCTGTCGTCGGAGGCGTGTGATGGTTCTTTGAAGTTCAGGATCAAGAGGTACTAGGTCTGATATCCCAGAATTCCTGGTCATGCACTAGTGAACCCTACACACAAACGAAAAACAACAGAAAAACAAAAAAAACGTGAGAAATCACTTAAGAAAAAGAAAAATAAAAAGATCCAGACTAGACAGGATCTAATCCTATTGCTTAAATTGTCCCCGGCAACGGCGCCAAAAACTTGATGTCGCAAATCTAGGTGCAGAAATATGATCAAGTAATAATATCCTAGACTCAACAATTAACCACAAGTGTACGGATCGTGTGTAGTAGCTAGGGTCGAACACAGGGACAAAATTAAGCAAAGGAGTTAAACCCAAATCCAAATCTAAATCCAACAAAAATAATAGGAATGTGGAGAATGGAATGTCGAGAACAAAGCAATTAACTAAAACGGTTGTAGACAATCAATGGAAATCACTGCAGGCTTCGGGATTACTTTACATGAAAGGATCCTTCAAAAGATGCAAATGAAGTGGTTTATCTATCCAATTCAGGGAACTCAAGCTCTAAAGTAGAGATTAACTCTCTCAAGTCTAATCTCACTATCCAAGCTTTATCCTACTAATCTCTCGACTCAATAGTCTAAAACCCTGGATGCATGAACGAACGCTATCACAATCCCTAGGCAAATATTTATCTCTCGATGCAATACCTGTTCCATTTACTGAGTTATTTCCAAGTTAGAATCTCATATGTCTATGCGAATTAAAACCCTAAGTTCATTCAATCACGTGGGCAACAAGATCAACCGCATTAAGAACAACTCAATAAACTGAATCAAATAAATAATACCACGTAGTCTAGAATTAAAAACCAAAGATCCCTACATAGCAAATCCCTAACCCACAGTAAGGGAACTACTCGCTAAACATCGAGACGTCAGGGTTCATATCAACAATACAAAACATCGTAAAATAGAAGGAAAGAGGAACGTTTAGTCGATTTCTCGGCTTCGTGATCTCTGTCTTCTACTCCAATCTCTTGTCTCTTGATAATCGCCCCCTTTTGTGTGCTCTAGGGTGTATTCTCTGTGTAAGGTCTGAATGATTTTCGACCTAGAGGCTTTCCCCTCTTATTTCACTTCGGTTTGGGCAAAATTGGAAGTTTTCCCCAATCTGGGGGTCGAACCGATCGTTTCGACCAAGCCAAACCGATCGGTTACACTTTCTGAGCAATTTTCCAATTTCTGCGATGCCGAACCGATCGTTTCGCTAAACCCGAACCGATCTTGTCGTGTTTCTGAGCAGTTTTGACGGGCTTCACGAATTCGCTCATAACTTCCTGCTCCGATATCGGATTTGGGTGATCTTGGTGTCTATGCGTAGATATCGAAGAGAGCTTTCCAATGATTAGAGATAGTATGATTTGGACTTGTAGAGTGAAAGTTATCGGACTTGAAAGATCTGATGTTTTCTTAGCTTCACGTTTCCCTAGAAACACTCCAAATGTTCCCGTTTCGTCCGTGATGTTCCGTAGCCCATGTTTTCCACTCCTTTTGCTCTTTTTATGCGTGAAAACCTGTTTAAACACCAAAAGAACACAACCATGCAATATCGAAGGCAAATGTGTCCTAGAATACCTATAAATATGTAAAATAGAGTGAAATACTCTAGACATCCTATATCAAAACGTCACCCAAAATACGTGTTATCATCCTTCTATACCAAATCCATCAGAGGGGGATTAAGGCTTTAAAATTCATATACCATGGCATTCGACCAAAGCAACTCTATGAGAGGATCGAGGGTATATTCCAACTCGCCGGATGGGAAAGTCTATTCCGCGCCAACCCCCGCACATACCATTCATTGACAACGGAATTCGCGTGCACTTTCTAATGTTTCATCCCAAGGAATCTCGATCCTCGCAGTAGCTACATCGGATTCCGTTTAGAAGGGCACCAATACTATCTCAAGATGGAGCAACTCGCTCAGATTTTGGGTGTTCAAGCGGGCAGCACGGCAACAATCCCGAAGATAACAATCGCCAAGGCAAGAAATTTCTGGACACAAATAGCGGCCGCACCCTTCACCCCTTGGGAACTCGAAGCCTTCATGATACGACATCCCGCAGTCCGCTACCTTCAGCAATTCATGGCATCCACCCTATTTGCACGCGAGGATACACGAACCGTCTCCATCAGGAACTAAACATGCTCATGGAACCTCTCCACTTCATGATGAACAACCGTCTAGAGGTTGCGGACGTCGCGTCAAGGGTAGCACTGCATATGCACAAGGTAATCACTTCCACCACTGAGTCAATTTGCTTCGGAGGAATCGTAACCATGATTGCAGAGCGATTGGGCATCGATCTTAGAGCATATGCGCATGATTTCATCCACGGGGACAAGATCAACTATATGCATCTTTTGGAGAACAATTTTGTCAAGGAACAAAATGGGGACATATTATGGAGGTTCGTGGACGTCGAGAGTAGGTATCGATCATTCGACATGGCTTATTTTGTGCTACCTCCTCTGACTGAAGAAGGAATCCATTTTGAGGTCTCATCAGACCTCGGCACAGGCTCCGGACAAGAGTCCTCATCCCACGGGTACTGCTAAAGGCCCGCTCGGTCCTCTCTCTTAACTCTCACTCCTTTGCATTCATTTTAGCTAACATCACATAGAATTGTAGTTCTCTCGCATTGCATAGGTTTCATGGGCTTACGATATCCGCAAGAGAGAAATTGGAATGCAACTCCACCTCATCGAAAAAGGTAACATACTCACCCCTTTCAATCCATTCCTTATTTCTCCTTTGGAATCTCTCCACTAGCCGAGAGTCAACACCGTGGACAGTGCTTGATTCAAGTCTTGGGGGGAGGAATGCACTAACGCACATCTTATCCATGAACCCTACACATCATGCATCATTTGCACTTAGAATCATGCATTCCATATTCAAAAAAAAGAGCCTTGCGTTTTGTATATACTTGCATAGATCGTCATCAATAGGTTGCATATATGCATATAGGTCTAGGAATGCATGCATACACTTGCATAAGGTTTTTTCCCTCAAAGATTTGGCCGGATGATAATGTGGGGGGAATATAGAGTAAGGATTAGCTTGGAAAGGTTTTAGGAGCTAAGTTTAGATTGATCTAAAGAGTTGAATGGATTGTCGAGTGAGGTAGAAATAGCTGATCCAATCCTAGAGCGAATGAATATCACGTGGGATGATTTTGTCTCCTAAAGTCTAGATGGAGTAGAGGTTACGAACCAAGCACGAAACGTCTCCCTAAAAACCACCCTTTGACCTCTAAGTTAGGAAGCCTATAGGAAGCAACAAGCCCTAGAAACCACGATGCATCCCGACACTCCTCTGTCATCATCTCGTTAATGAAAATCATTCAGGGACATGAATGCGTCGAAAATGAAGGCTCGGGTCTAAGTTGTGGGACAAGGACACAAAAAGAAAAAAAAAGGAGAGTGAACTCGTCAAATTCCAACGTCCTAGAAGCCCGGGATTGCATCATATGAAAAAAGAAGGGAAAGAAAGAAAAAGAAAAAGAACAAAAAAACACGAATGAAAAGGAAAGATATGGGGCAAGAGAAAACATTGAAGTTATAGGCTAAGTGAGTTTTGAGATCCTCATTTGGGATGTGTTTAGGAGACATGCTCGGCAAGTAGGAATTATTTCGTCTTAGACTTCAAGAAGCAATGAAAATCCCATTAAAAAAAATTTCGCTTGAGTGTTGGAAAAGATAGAGTATACCAAACCCGATTTCATTCGCAGCGACT